GGTAACTAAGGGGAGTCATAGCAACGGTAACTAAGGGGTCATAGCAACGGTAACTAAGGGAAGTCAACCATGGAATCAGAAGTGAGGCGCGAAGAAAGTGAGTCGATCAGGCTTACCCTGGATGCTTCAGACTTGCTCGTAGCAAGACTATCTACATTATCATCTTGTTCCTGCAACCATTCATGTTTCAGACATTCTTCCGCGCTCATTCTGTCCCTGAACACAGAAAGAATTTTTTTCGAATTTAGAAAAAAGCTATTGAATCATGGCGCAAGGGACGTATACTACAACAGGCCTCTCTGAGCTGCACTGAGCTGCATTCTGGTCTAGCTTGGGTACTGGCAAAACAATATGAACCAGTGTAATACCTCTACGAAAGATATATATTTGGATAATACCATGCGCATTTGTGATGTATGATTTATATAACGCTCTTCCTATACGTATATCTCAAAAGCGCTTACAATAATGAGGAGTGGTTAGTTTGAGATGTAGGCACTGAGAGTGGTCACTGCCAGGATTTCTTTAAAGCCTTGTCCTAGCGACGCAAGCCGTCGCAAGAATAAGCACAAGCGCAAGCCAAAGTAAGAAAAACAAAATCTTTCGCTCTCTTGTGCTTGTGTCGCTTCTTTTCATAGTGCGACCATGCGCGTCTGCTTACGTCGCTAGTCAGAAGAAGGCTTAAGTCCTTAGTTATTCTTTTACATCGCTCCGATTGACGCCTTTTTCACTAGGCAGCCATGTTGGTTAGAACAATAGATTAAACCACGCCTGGCCTCGCTTTCAAGTGCTCGATCACGAGAATAAATTTATGCAGGTTAAACAACAGTTTTTATTCTCATGAGAATAAAACATGTCCGTCATGTGACATAGGTTCATTGGTCATTAATATGAAGTGAAGACATGTGTGGACATCCCGTTTACTTTGATTGCTTACCTAGGATTCTTCAACAACAAGTCTGATATGAATTCTTTTGAGGATGAACTGAGGTCCTTAAAATACTCGTCATCAAACTCGTAGTCCACGTGAGATATATTATTGAATGTCTCTGTATCGCTGTCGCCAAGGAATGGGGATGCGCCGCTTAACCTGTAAGAGTGGATGAGATTTTAATGGCCGGTGAGGTGAGCATCAAGAACTGGTGGCTGTAATAACAGGGTATCCGTATCAAATAGGTTAATAAGAAGTAATTGCAGTGAAACCTCGTTAATTCGGAGACCCAAGGAAACAGAGAAAGTATCCGGAATAGAGGCTTTGCACCATCACGTGATGTCAGCCATGACAGGAGGCAGGAACAATTAAATCTGGTCTAATCTGATTTACATGAGAAAAAATCTTTTTCTCAGGGGAGAACGACTCTATTGTTGTGCCTCTTGTCATGGCTGCCATCACATGATGGTGCAAAGTTTCTATAAAGGGGTGTTCGTATCATACTGCAGGAAAGGGGGTTCTGCTGGTGGGTGGATGGGGAGGTGGGAAACAAAAGCGCATAAGGAAGGCTCAAATATTCTACTTACATGATGTAGGTTAGCACGCCAATAGCCCTGTTGAACAAAAATACCAAATAAAGAAATAAATATAGTAAAATTGCAAGGTTTTCCATTCAATAGCATTAATATTCAGATAATTATAAAATCCCGAGGTAGCAAAAATTTTGTCCAAGATACAAGTTTACAGCGCTCAGATTTTATAAACTTGAGGTAGAGCATCCAAAAAGCAAATATGAACCTCCCCTACATTGTCTTCATCATAATTGAATATATCCCTTGCATTGATTTCCTAGAGGAATACTTATGGGGGACAAAATAATAGGCCATCAAGAATCCTTTTCAGTAGCTTTTTTGTTATGCTAATTTTTGCTATTGTCTTGGTATTGTCAAAGGGGTTTTGACAAGACTTCAAATTAATAATCAATTAATAATTAATAAAGCACCACCCCCCCCCCCATCATGCTTTATTAATTTTCATTTTGTATTTTTCACTTTCGCCTTTGGCAAACAATTGATTTTAAGCATCGATAATGTGGTTTTAGAATATTCTGAACCATTCAGTATGTGGTATGCCACAAGTTGATGGTCTAACAAATAGTAAATCATAACTAGTGGTCAAAATTGAATCAAAATAAGAAAGTCTTATTTTGTTCTTACCACATGTCTGTCTCGGTTCCAACTGGTTCAAATGCAATGATTTCTGGAGCTGGAAGAAGAAATGTGAGACATAATGACAAGTAAGATATGTTTACTTTTAATTATGTTATCGTCATTGTCAATGTGTTTGTTTTGATGATGCTGGTGAATGTAATGCTGTTGGTGATGATGATGAACAATGATGATTAAAATGATACTAACGATTGGAGAGATGGTGATGATGATGATGATAATGATGAAAATGATATATGATGGTGATGATATTTATAATGATGATAGTTGATGATGAAGATGATTGTAACATTGATGATGGTGGTGATGAAGATGATTGTAACATTGATGATGGTGATAATGATGATGATGATAATGATGGTGGTGATAATGACATTGATGATGATGAAGATGGTGATGATGATGATAACATTGATGATGATGATGATGTTGATCATGATGGTGACGATGATGGTGGTGATTATAACATTGATGATGGTGATGATGATGGTGATGATGATGGTGATAATAATGATAACAATGTTTATAATGGTGATAATGATAACAATGGAGTTCACGGCAAAGGCATTGGGAGGTGGAATGATGATAATAATTATCCTGCTGCTACTAACAATGAATGATGATTGAGATAATAAAAATTTGGTCCAACAACTTTGGTATCAGTAATAATTGACAAATAAATAACAGGAAAAAACTTCAGAAGAATTTTTCTTCAAATGAAAATTTAGCATTTACCAACAAACTCTGGAGTACCCATGATTTCTCTAACCATCTCCCCTTTAGCCAGCTCCCTTGCTAAACCAAAATCTATCAGCTTGATTTGAGTAGAGCCCTCACTCTTAAGCACTATGTTCTCTGGCTGCAAGAGGAAAAGAAAGAATGAAGCATTAATTACGATATTTAATGACACATTATGTAGTAACTAAAAAAAAAAGACAAAAAATAGGACTGTGTTTGTGGTAATGCGTTATCATTGTCGGCATGTAATTGTGTCTTCAAATATTCTTGTTAATTATTGTAGTGCTTGATCAAGCTGGTGTCCAACTCACAGATTCAACCCAGAAACAAACTCCGGGCTGATCAAAATTTGGACATGGCTAGCTTATAGATTGAACCCTAGCGGAAACAACCTCTAGGCTGATCAAAGTCAAGGCACAGATCAAATTGGAATTTAGCAATTGAATATTAAAGCCTAGTAAGCATGAAAAGTGTAATCTCTGATTGCAAAAAAAGACCATTGCAATCTTTAAGATTACTGTTTTCTTCAAATATATACAAAACAATATAGAAACGTTTAATATATCATTATGAAATATTTGAGATATAATGCACACTCTGATTGGCTGGCTATCGTGTTTAGATCAGAAGACAGAGACACGTTCGAGCAAAATCCTTCAAAAATATTGTATAAAAGCAATGTAAAACAGCTGCTGTAGAGCACTTGAAAAGCAAGAGAAAATGCTAGACTGTGTCTCGTGTTTCTAAGCTTGGTTCATGGTCTATAGCTTCCAGCATGTTTATATCACAGTACACAGACATGCACATGTGTTTTAAGTTCCTTAAATATAATATTTTCAAAATAAAAAACAACAGACATTTCCAAAAATTATAGTTTTTGTACAAATATTTAAATTAAGATGAAAACAAGATTTATGGTTCATGGTTGATTGAGAGTCATACTAGAAACTCATTCAAAATTATCTTTAAAATGTTCATAAAATGATATATCATCATAATCGTTTTTCTTGTGTTAAGGCTGCGTTCATAATGTATGGCAGA